CACTCCTTGGGATTTCTCCTTAATTGTGGGTTTATTCTTTCATTGCAGACGAATTTACATTTTGCAGGACTGTGTAGGTAAAGACCGCTGAGCCCACAGATGGTATGTAGGAGCAGATCAACAAATTGACTTCATGTGCAAGCCAAGCCTTACAACTTTATTTCCTATAAAAAACACTTAATCACAGAAGTTGTCTTGGCAATGCAAGATTCAAGTTGTAAAATTTGAGGGGCCTGATCTAAGATATCTTGAAATCCTAGGATTCTAAAATGACACTAACAGATTAACCATGGAAAATATTCAGATGTCCTTAAAAAAATCACCCTGAATTTCCTTTCAAGTTAGAAACAAATAATTGATTTTTAACATTTAGTTAACATCTAGAAGCATAAAAAGCTGAATTAGCATCTGTGAAAACTGCTCTATAAGCACCTGAAGATGCAATTGATGTATCTATTAATACATAACCAAAAATGAAATAACTTTACTGAATACTTGAAGTGAAAATCTGACTCCACCAAGGCTTCTGGCAACACTCTGTCACTTCAACAGGGCCAGAATTACAGTCTTGATGTTTTAATCAGAGGTGGACCAAAGCCCTGTCTCTGTAAAAACAGTGAGGTCTGAATTTACATTAAACATCTTAGTACGATTTCCAGTGTCACATGGGCACTACATTTTGTGCCTACATCTGGAACCTGTACCTCAGATACAACCAGGTGAAATTTACTTTAATTGACAGTGCTCTGCAGATTACTGTGCCTGACACCCTTAGAGGCCATGGAGCGCTGACAAGGGACCCTTGGACTTTCAAAACTGTCTGTTTGTTGTTTCGCATATGGCACCAGTTTTGCAACTCCCCTGTGAACATTTAGTGCTTGCTTTCAGTTGTATGAGGTACAAAAGGAACTGTGAAAATCATATACACAGTGTGATAAAAAAAAAAACAAACACAAAACATTTAAAATTAATTTTTGTAGCACGACTTTTATGGATGTGTTTGTTTTCTCAAGAACATGTTTGACACATGGAATGTTTATGAATTTGAGTCCAAACATTGACAGAGTAGAAGCCTCTTTTGCTATGTCTCAGAGAACTGTTCAAGGCCAGGTTGGATGGAGCCCTGAGCAACCTGGTCTAGTGGAAGGTGTCCCTGACCATGGCAGGGGGGTTAGACAGGATGATCTTTAAAAGGTCAACTCCAACCCAAACCATCCTCTGATTGTGTGATTCTAGGGGTATCTTGCAGGATAAGTCCCTGTCACATGCTATTCCTGAACTGTCCTTGAATAGAATCTGAAATAGCAGCACTTGCTAGAAAGGAGCAATGCCTCACCACTAGGGAAGACACTGGCAATTAAATAGTCTGCACTGTGGCACACCAGTGTCTCAAGTCTGTGTCATGGTCTTGTTTCATTTCTTCAGAAAATTTAGATGTATCAAATACATGAATTGTCTTCATAAAGTGTCTGCTTTTATGATACTTTGATGGGACAGATTAGCAAGGCCCAATATGAAATTTCATACCAAAATTAGAGGAAGATGGATCTGGCCCAGCATCAGGATGGTCCCACAAGGTTTGAGGAGGGGATCTAGTTTCAATACTTCTCCCTATGTATGAACTGGGGAGCCGTTAGGATATTTAGGAGAGGGTACTTGGAGAAGGGGGAACTTGAAAGGGGAAACTTGAAACTGGATTTAGCCATACCAGAGATGCATGCCATGAGCAGCCCTGTTGGTTAACCAGAAACAAGTGGACGTCTTCTTTCTTTTTTCTTTTTTTTTTTTTTTTTTGAACAAATATTTTACTTTATTTTGGTATAAAATGGGAAAAAAAAATCTTGAAATCTCAGTAAGTTTTAGAAAATGGGAAAACTGCTTCCCATTCAAATTTACCCTTGGCTCCTACAGTAACACCCCTGAGGGTGTCCGTTCATTTGTCCTTCCGGAACACCTCTCCCAGCTGTGTTTTCCCTGCTCCGTTTCTGGCTGTGTGCATGTAAAGCATGCCATGTACAGAATGGTGTGACACACATTAATACATATAGATAGCCTTCTGCTTCTGACCTTACAAACTGTCCACTTCAGCACTGTCATTCTATAAAATGTCCAACTGCAGTCCAAGAAATGCATTTTAAATGTGAATGCAAACATTTCTATTACTGATAACACCAGCGCAGCATTTTTTGCTTTGCTGGGATTAGGACCTTGATAGTTAAAGTTACATTGGAGTAATGACACTCCAGGGTCACGTCCTTTCCTGACATGGCAAAGGAAGGAAAGCCCTTTGCTATGTTTCTGCTGGTAACATTAAGAAGGATTATTCCTTGTGTTTGATGAGGTATGTTAAAAGTAAAAGAATACATTTGTGACCCATAATTATTTTAGGTTGCCAATAACTGGGAGAAATTTACACGTTGTGCTGCACAAAAGTTGTATTTAATTCATGCTGAAAGTCAGATTTATAGAAAACATTCTGAAATCTGGTAATGCTGTACATAAATGCCTCCCTCAGAGAACAGCCATCTTCTCACATGAACAGTAAAGCAGTTGCAGTTCAGCTAGGGACAACTTAAAAAAAAAAAGAAAAAAAAAGTACTGTGATCTGCAGAGAGCAAATGCAGGAAATTCCAGCTTAGAAGGCTAACTCACAAACTCTATCTGAATATGCTTCAATGTGCTTCACTTTCTTGCTCTGTAAAATGGGGTAATAATCTTTATTGATCTGTCTACCTTTTAGGAATGCATTAAGCAGAACTTAAATGATATCCTTGCAGTGTTTTGAACAGTTTTGATATATGCAGCTCTTACAGTACAGCTTAGTAGCTGGGCTTGCCACTTTACCAGGTCCTCCCACAGGAGACCTGTCCTGCTTTTCTTTATGGTTCTCTAGTCTTCCCATTCAAACTTCTTCTAACTGGGCAAGTTTGGTAAATTGATAATGACTTCCACACCTTGTTGACTTGTTAGCTGAGCTGCTATAGCTAACCAAGCGCGCTATTTTCCCCCAAGGAGTCGGTTCAAATTGTAATGTTGTACTTCACAGTTGAGCCTACCTAGAGGCATGCCATCGGGCTGTGACTGCTGAAGGAGAAGTCACTCATTAGGATGCTGTCACTTGATTGAGCCATACCTTAGCCTAATAACAGAAGGAAGTGGGTGATCTTCTGATGAGAGCTGCCTGCCCCTCCAGCTATGCCTGAGCTGGTTGGATATCATTGCATGATGCTTTCTTGAGGATGGATTTTCTGGGGTTCTTGTGTGTTGCCACTGGTGATTTAAGTATGGAGAGGTCTTCACAGATCCCTGTTACTCTTCACAGCACAGTTCATACATGTATACTTTTTATATCTTTAGCAAGAGATTCAGAGTTGTTCCTCTAGTTTTGCTCTCTCAGAAAGCAACTCAGTAGTCTGCCTGCAAAGCCACTGACATTTTCACTAAACAGTTATTTTAGAGCAAATTTTACGCTGTACCCATTGATACAATATAAATTAATTGTTGAATTCAATAGGAACTCTATGTGTTTGTTTTGGAGACAAATTTGCCTTCAAGTTTTATTAGAAACACTTTAGCCTGTTTTCCTGAGGAAACTAGTCTTATGACTAGTGCTGTCTATCCTTCTCTCCCTCTTTCTATTCATTCATCTCTCCATACCTATCTAATGGCTTTGAAACTGCTAACTGATTTCAAAGAAATTTATCAGAAATAGAGATCTAAAAAGACGTTTAAGCTCCTAAATGGAATGAGAATCGGTAGATAGACTGAGGAAAGCTACCCTGTTACTATCCCCACTGAGGAAAAAGAGGGACATCCCAGCCCTAATCCACCCTGTTTCTCAGCAACCAAGTAGGGCTACACTAGTTAATGCATGTGATAAGGGACATAGGGCAACTGGGGTCATACTAGTGGGGGATGAAAGGGACATACAGCATGAGGGATATTGAGGATAAAGAGGAAGAAGCCAAGCTTCTGGAGAGGGAAGACTGGAAGCCTTAGAAGGGGATATATGTTTTCTGGAGGGCTATGATAAAGTCAGAGGAGATGTGGTGAAGGAAATAGGGCTGTGTTTTGTATTTTCCTTTTACTGTTCCTGTTGCAATAATCCTATGACTCTAGCTTCACTTGCTCTTGTTTGCAAAAAAAAATTTGTTTCATTCCCAAGTTTCATCAGAAGTTTATAAAAAGAGTCTTCCAACAGTGTAACTTTCTTCAGCCTAGCAGTTTATTGACTAATAAGCTTTCTTACAGCATCTGTTTGACATCTCATCCTAATATTAGTTTTACAGGCACATTCACATTTTAGGAAATCACTGTATTATCAAGTCTGAGATGTCACAAGTGTCTCTTTCTGCAAGTATTTGCCCCAGAAATGTTAGCTAAAATGTTTTATCTAATACCATCCCTCCCGTTGTGTTGTACTACTTAGTTGTCATCCAAAAGCAGCTGCATTTTTATGAACGTATCTTAATAAATCATGTCCTGAAAGGCACCAGTATCTCTTTGTTCTTCCCTGAGATCACATGGGAGTAATAGGTGGTCATCTAGAGTACTAGGGATCAGTAAACCAAGGAAAATTATGTAAGCACCTCAGTTCATAGTTAATAACGTTGTACAGATGAGTTGTAGAAAGCAAGACAAACAGACTGATAATTGCATCTCTTTAAATCTGTGTCGAAACGACAGGTGGGAACAAAGCATCATCCTGGGGCCAGAGTGTGGCCCGGCGTTTGTTTCAAACACTGTCAGCCACAGCAGATTTGTTGGGGATGACAGTGGACGGTGGTAAAACATATAGGTGATATGTGACACGACAAATGAGTTTGAAAGTCCTCATCACCCCAGTAAAGGAATGGTTGTTTCCCACCCCTAGCCTGTCATATCTGTCTCTCTGTGCTTATTTCACCTAAGTTTGATTTAACATGTACAAAACAAGTAATTAGGCGTGGCAAGTGTATGCAGCATGTGCGCATTTTCCCTTTCTATGTTGTTTTTTCCAGATTATTGGAACAATCCCACTGATGCCTAATCCGGTCCCCTCCAGCCAGGCGGCAGGTGGAGCTCAGGGACTTCAGGTGCAGCCAATAACTCCGCAGTTATTGACTAATGCCCAGGGTCAGATCATCGCTACTGTTATCGGCAACCAGATACTCCCAGTGATCAACACCCAGGGAATAACACTATCACCGCTCAAAGCAGGCCAGCAGGTAAAGTGTCTGTAGCCTGAATGATTACCAAAACAGATGAGCAGAAATCTTCTACTCCTCACAAACTCTTTCATGGCCTTTCTAAAAACTCCTGCTTCTTTATCATTTTTAATAACCAAAGACGAATTCTATCATACACAGCATATTAATGCATACTATATATGTGGTCATTCTGTAATGTTGTATTATATAATTTATTTATACATTCAGAGGTTTATCCAGTTTTTCTTTTTTTTTTTTAAGGACAGTATAGGGCCAACTAAGACATTTTCTGCAGTGAAAGCGCAGCAGGAACACAAGACAGGAGAGGTCCATATGACCTATAAAGTTCAGTTCCTTGGTTAGTGGTCACCAAGTACACTAGGGTTTGAAATGTTTTGGAACATGCAGAAGAAACAAAGAAAAATATAAACTTACTAGTCTTCTTCATTGGAAAATGAGATATGATTGTGCCTATTTGCTTAGATAGAAAGTATTTTTAGGGAAGTTGTTATCCAGTGTAAGGCGCCAGGTAGTTCACAGACTTCAGGATGGGTGCAGCAACATCACCAAGGTCTGAAAAGATTTCTATAGTTCTTTTTATAGTACTCTAAAGTTCATTAGTTTTGTCTACATCTGTACAGCAAAGAACGGTAGCACCACCTCTTTTGTCTGAAAGAGAGGAAACTGAGGATGGAAAATACATCAAATATGACTACCAAAAAGGTACTTATAAAAGTGTCACTCACTTAAATGTTCATCTTACCATTCCTATTGCTGGTAGCGCTGGTTTGCTAGTCCTGCCCATGCCCGCAGCTGCAGGTAGCAGCCTTTTGTGAATTTCTGAAAATCACAGGCCCCCCTGAACTCCAAACTGATGATTCTATTTTTTGTTTTAAAATTTCGAAGTAGTGAGCCAATGGATCTCTAAGGCGACTTTTTTGGGTTTTTTGAAAATGTTTCATATCCAAGTGGTTACATACACCTTTTTTTTTTTTTTTCTCCGTCCCATGCTCTGTGGTATCTAGCAGAAGCATTTTCCAAAGCACTTGTCATCTAGCTAACTTTTTTTTTTCTTTAATGGCAGCAGACTTATACTACTGGCGAGTGCTTTTGCAATTGTTGCATGCAAGTGGTTTCAAACAAAGTGGGATGGATGCAAGGGCGGGCTCTGTGTTCTCCAGCACGGGAAAGCTTGACAATGGAATAAGAAACTCAGCAGTTTACATTTGGTTTCCTGAGGGTGTGTGGGGTGGGGTGTTTCTTTTTGAGTCAGTCCCCTGCAGAGATCAGATCTTCCCCTCCTTTATGGGGGAAGCTCTCAAAAAATGTAGCAATCCTGAGATCCCAATTGAAACTCATGAAATTCAGAAGTAGAGAAGAGAATAGAGGTCCTGTATTATTCCCTGAGACCTTCTCACCCGCAGAGCAACACACCTTCTGAGTCCTTCAGCAAAGCAACCTCTTCCAGGCAACATCCACTAGTAGTATCAGTGGGCAGAGAGGAGACAGACATGCGAGCTTCCTCTGCACAGCTAGTGGCACCGGGCTCTCATAAAGAGACAAACTGCTGCTCAAGGCTGCAGCTTGCTGAATGAGCAGGGGTTCAAGGTAGAAAGTCACTGCTTAGCCATATCGTGCTGTATTGTACTTCTTTACCCAACCTGTGTGCTCGTGATCTCAAAGGTCTATTCCAACCCTATGATTCTATGTGCAACGATCAGCTGGCAGAGATCATCAGACAGCAGAGCTTTGGTTGTGTCCAAGAGCCAAAGATGCACCCTCTACTGTGCTGGTCTGCCCAGCAGTGCTATGTAGGTAGAAAACATTATTTTGCCAAGAGCAGTTTCGCAGGGTCCAGCCTGTGCCCCTCGCACAGAGTCCTGAGGTCCCAGGGGTTGCAGGAAGGGCCACCAAACAACACAGAGCCTACTTACCCGTGTCTGTTGGAGCCTGATCAAGACAATATTTTTGATCGGGGGGGGGCGCAAAAGTAATGCAAATACTACATGAAAACATAGTACACATTATCATTTTTATAGGAACCGCAGAGAATTATTTCTGTGTATTTGTGCTCCCTCTACTGGCTTTTCTGTTTTTACTGAAGGAAGTTGTAGGAAATTTTGCCATTTATTTCAGCGGGACCAGAAAAGAGGTATGAGAACCAGATTCTTGACAGGAATAACACTGATGGATAGTCAAAAGCAATTGAACTACTACTATCCAAAATTCCATATCATTTGAAAAGTAAATAGGATTACACAAAATATAAGGAAATCCTGAATTTATCTTATTTCCTGGGTAAAGACTTAGCCACATGGTAGTGTTTGGCGAACGATAGTATATTTAGTCACAAGTTTAAAACCTTGTTTTCA